TATAAATTGGCCTGTTGAGAAGCTAGAATAAGGTATATGAGCTTAACATAGTAACTGACACTACAAAAAACGTTTTTAAATTGCATAACTTTTGAATATCTGTATGAATATTAAAATGAAATAACTATTCATTACTTTCTAGATATTCAATGATCATGTAATTTGAGTTTGTCCAACATTTCGCAAGGGGCGAGGTCGTAGATGCGCACTGCTGAGGAGTCCCAAAATAGAACGAAACGGCCGTTCAGTGCTTCCAGGTTTTCCATGATGGTCTAGCTTCAACTGACTCACGATCTTAACCATTAAAATTACTATAATATCCACAAAACCTATCTGATATTTCAATAAAAATTCAACAATCTTTATAAATATGATTGATATATAAATCTACAAAATACATTCAACTAAAATCTATTCCAGTTAGTTGAAATCATGAGTCAAATGAAGCTAGACCACCATCTAGTGCTTTAAGGTTTTCCATGTTGAAATTACTAAAAATCTCCACAAAAACCTCTTCTAATAAAATCTATTCATTATTTGATTTTTATTTTATTCCATTCACTAAGTTGAAGAGATACATTTGTTTTACTAACATAATTATTATGTCATGTTACATGATCATTTGAATGTTTTTACATTCTTTACAAGTACGTAGACTAATCATGTTACTTTCATATATGTAGATATTACGTTATAAATTGTTTTACATAAGAAAATTTCATACAAATTGTCTGGGTCAATCAAACTTTAATTGAAAATGTCACTATACTCTCTATATATAGAGGGAGAGAGAGGAGTGAACAAAACAAAACATGATATCAATGAAAATCAGGTCAAAATTATTATTTGAATATGGTGTGTTCTTTGCCTTCTTTTTTTCTTCTTCCATATTTAGTAAACAATCATCTACATGTATACATGTACATGTATATCTATCTTGATTGTTAGAAACAGAATTTAAAGTGTCATGACGAAATGTACAACATTTATAGAAGTCATTTATCTATTTGTCCATAAAGTTATTTTTGCATAAATTTTCACATTTATCAATAAGCAGCAAACAAAAAAAAGCAATAACAACAACAACAACAAAGAAACAATGAATCTTTTGTTTGAATAAACCCAACTATTGAATTTATTCAATATGTCTGGTTATTGATAAAGTGAACATGAAAGACTTTACTTTAAAGGTAAGTTGTAGAATGTTAATTATAATATAAAATTTGATTTTTAAAATGATAATACAACTTTTACTTAGGTTGGTGGATACAAAGAGTCCACCTAGGGGAATTGGAAAATCCTGATTCTAAATCAATGGTGTACATGGGCTCCAGGATCCTAAGAAAACAAATGGCGTATGACCTATTGTCGGTCACCGGCTACCATGGGACTGTATCTCCTTACGTTGCTCCACTGTCTTGTGAATCAGACCTTTAGGTCGAAGGCTCCACGTATGGCCCCCTAAGAAAACCACCTGCTTCGGTCTCGGTAGAATCTCAGCCCTCACACATCGAATGATTTATGTGGTGCCTCCTTGTACCAATGTTTATGTGTTTAAATAAATAACTTAACGGAAATTTACTACATTTGTCTACTGTCAATTAATTCAAGAAATATTACCACTATTTTTAGTTAACTTAATTGGCCGGTTTACCTAACATGATTTCTTCAATAAATACCACGTTTAGAAAATATTAAGTAGAGAACTACAAAGATCCTTGTAGCAGTAGATAGTTGTTCCATTCTTGGTTGATATTCTTTAGTAATGCATGTCCACTATTTTTTTACGGGATCTAGCTGATAACTTTCAAGTATCAAGGAGAGTTCAACACCTTTGGACAGCCAAAAGGGAATCAGATGGCTTGGATTTCAAAATTCTGTCAACTATATCCAACATCACTGGTAAATTATTTACGCATTCCTAGCTTAGCTGATCTCATTAATCATGGCTTCCCATTGGTCTCTCCAGATTTTTGTCAAGACGAGTTACTGGTTAGCACTATATTACTATATTCTAAAAATTTTATGTCGTTTGAGGATAGTTTTCGACACAGATTGACATCGACTGTTGAACCAACGAAAACTTGGAAGCATTGAAGTGTTACATATTTAGATGGGAGCCACACTGGCGATTTTTGTTTGGAACATTTCTAGAAGTCTTATCATAGAAACCATTGAATAGTTTGTTATGCATAGCTATTTTTTTGAAAAATTGTTGATTGTTTTACATTTTATTACTATGTACCCTCAGGATTTCAAATTACTGTCAAGTCGCTTAGTAGTATGTTTACATCTCTGAATACAAGATAGTAATTTTATTTTCGGTCCAATCACCTATCTCATCATAAGATACATTCGTTGGGTCGAGGATATATTTCATCATATCAAATAATTCATGTGTATTAACATTTTCAAAGTATAACCGGTAAGCATCTCAAGAAAATGTATTTGGTTTATTCGAACACTAGATATCTAAAAATCGTGTGATTTAAGGAGTTATCAAACAGAAGTGTTTTTAAGAAAATTATGGTAAACAAAGTATATCATACTTCAAATTAACATTCCATTCTACATTATTTATTAGTTAAATACCATTTCAAATGTCACTTTCTTTACGATACAATCACTCGATCACTTTTATTTACTCATCAGTAATGAATTTAAAAGTCCATTCAAAGAATTTTTAATTTTGTGTAAAGCACTAACTAAAAATAATTCATTTAATTATAAGTAAATAAAACAAATCTACCGACAGAATATAGCCAACATTAATGATAGACAGCATATAACTATCAGAGAGAATATGCTATTACGAGGAAGTCTCGAGATAATCGTCAGTTAAAACCCAAGTGATTAATAACTAATGACAGTATACAACAGTGAACAAACGAATACTTTCATGGTCCCGTTAACTAATACACCCGCTTGTTATACTAGTTTGTGAGAGTGAGACTGCTCTAATCGATTTTTCTGAGTAAAGCTGTAAGGGGTATTGTATTCGTTGTAATTTAAAGGAATCGTAAAGTGGTCGTAAACACTAACTTATATGAATCTTTCCATCCCAGTTGATTATTCTTTTGAACCTGGTTAATTCAAATACATTTCATTTTTTGCTTCAAATCAGAACATTAGGTTGGTTCCAGAATGAACATTGTTCCCCTGAAGCAGCTGTACCATAATGAACGATCGATTCAGTCAGACAGAACAGTTCTTGCTATTAGACCTCTATTTTTGATTATCAAGTTATTGGTGGATCAACTGTTTGATAATGGTCACTTTGTTGTCCGTTATTTCAAACGTTTCTTTACTACAGGGAATTATTGTTATTTCGCAACCTATTTACGTGATCAACTTCCGAATTCTATAGGGTTTATCCTGTGTATATCCGTTAATTTACGATAGAAATGATACTGACACACGTTCGACAACAAAGGCATAACTAACTTTACGTGAGTCAACCGATTCACTTCACACAAATACAAAGAACTTACTAGCATATTTTGTTCCTACAACCTCTTCGATAAGTATTTATAACCACAACTGTCTATGCACAATGAAACCAATAGTTTCGTATCATAATATTTAACGGCCATTTAATGTTTCTACGAGACTTTTACTATTAAAAGGCCAACAACAAAATTACAATTTTGACAAATATATCTTATCCTGTAGATCACATCACATTTCTCTGTGTGGTTCTTCTCTTGTATAATGAATTTTTTGTGTGGACTCTGAAGAAAAATGCTGATCTCCAAATAACTTGCACTTTTATATGATGGAACATATCCAATAGTTACGCTTTGTTGACTGTATATGTAGTCATCCAACGAAATATTGGAGCTACACCTACTAGTTTCAACATTGCCACTGAATTATAGACGAATTTTATAACTGTGATTAAGAACTAGTAGTTGGGGTTTAAGTATCATTGGTCAACCAGTCCCATCTACGTTAAGAAAACTCCATAGAGCGTACATTTAAGTTTTTCAGACAATCTGTTACCAAGATCTTTTACTCTATATTTGAATGGTCATCACTTATTCTTTCATATTCAATTTTCCTAAGATCTTCCATTCTTATACTATAAGCATTCATTATTGTAACATTCAGACGAACAACAATTTGTTTGTTCAGTGTCGATTTACTCACATAACTTTTGTGCAATGGTGTTACACAAATTTCTAGATTCCGTTTTAGAGAATATCAATATCTATGTGTCAACCTCCTGTAAACTGGATATGTAAATCTATTTGTGTTATTTTAGAAAACCAACTAACGACCATGATATTACTAATGAGGAGCAAGTTTATGAGAATGACTTCAATATAGTTTAGTTATAATAAAGACAAAACAATAACCCTGACTACTGACTAATGAACAGTAGGCAAAATCGATCATCGAAATTCCTTTGAGAGATAATTTATACCGCTTCACTTCTACGATTTTATTTTATGCGACTTTCGAGTTATGCGTGATAGACGTTTATCTCCTAGATAACTGGAGTTTGAGATAATTCAATTGTTGCTTCTAAAAATGAATACTAGGGAAGATTATAAAATGCTAGGACATTTAGCTGAATTAGGATGGAACAGTGTAGTTGTCAGTAATGGATTACAATAATTTACGTGAATGCTGCAAAAATATCAATGTAAAAACAGAATCCCAACTATGAATATCGCATGCACATAGTTATAATAACAATTATCAAAAATACAATCTAGTTACAGCAAGACTGGACCTAGTAGGATTAACCGAAGCTATTCACATACTTTAAGACTCCTACTGATCAACATGAGTTACGAACGGTGAACAATTCCTAGTTGTAATCTCTGCGAAATTCGCCGACTACTGTTAGAGAACCTAGGTGCTACAGTTTCAAATCTGCAGCAACGTAAAAAGTCTAGTCTTTATCTAGAACAACGCATAATTCATACATTTTATCCCGTTTGTAACTATTTCTTCTGATTCCTTGGTGATATTGTAATGAATGAGAACACAAGTGGGAACAACTAGTTTATTTTAATACAAAATTACAAATTTATTTGATAAAATGTGAAAAACAATACGTTCAATACTTTATTTGCAAATTATCCACCAACTGTCTCAAACTTCATCGTTTCTTCATCACCATAACAAACACTCTCTGTCGCCGTTCTCTTTGATTCGATCTTCTCAACCTTCTGCTGCCAGGCATTCAACTTCTGATTGGTGTTATATACTACTTACGTCTATAAAAGTAACACACACCACAGTATCACTAGTTGCTTTTCTGTATTGACATGACATTTGGAAAATAGAACTGAGACATTCTTGTTACTTAGGACATTCCTTCGCTAGTCGAAACAACACACTTATTTCGTCTAATATTTAACAAACAACTACGATTAGTTCAGACAGATAAAACGTCAGAAACTTAAAGTAGAAGTTAAATTCATACCAATTTACAAAAATACAAAGTAAACCGATCAAATTGAGAATATATCAAAGTAAACAAGGTCACGTATTGAAAAAAGTGAGTGACGAGTAATAAAGTGTCAAAGATTCGTAAAGTGTGAATGAATATGTTTTGGATGAAAAGAGGTCTTTGAAGGTCATACCAGAACACCATATATTGATACCTAGCAATCTGGTATAGCATTTATACAAGTACTTCCCAGGATTAAATGACCTGTAAGATGCCTGGTTGATATGTAAAATAGGAATTGAAAAAGGAGGTTGATTATGAATACAGTGGTCTTGAGTGCTGTTAGAGGTATGAGGGCAGCTATCACTTCCCGGTTGTCCACACCGTGGAACGGTTCTTTTGTAGGTACCTGAAGAGGAAATTGGGTTAGAGATGATCTTAGTGACCTAAGAGTGTGACCGCAGTGCTCGTCGGAGACGGATATCCTTGGGATAAGGCGAGGTGTGCATTATTGTGGTCAACATTTTCTAACCGCACCCCTCCTTGTGGAAAGGCAGGAGCGCTGTCGTGCTGGTTGTCTGAAGGAAATACCTTACTGCCATCACACATCTGCACAGCCAGCAAGATGACTTCGCCGTCAGACCTTGGATTTGCCGCTTTTAGTCTTACCGTTCTTCAACTGACCTGTCTGGCATGGCGGGACCTTGAGGAACGATTGTTCCAGCCAGTATAGCTCGGCTGGTTCATCACGATGGGCAGGCCCTACTACTGGAATTAACGTTCTCGTCGTCTGAATGTTCAGAAATTGATCTACCAGTCGAACGCGTCGACAACTTCACTTATCTTAGAAGTTTGATCAACCTTAATGGGTTAGTGTCTGACGAAATCTCAGCACAGATTCGAAAAGCTCGTTTGGTTTTTGCTAACTTACATCACCTAGGGCGAAGGCGATGTATCTGTCCATCAGTTAAGGGACAAGTATACTGAGCAGCAGTCCGTTCTGTTTTGCTTCACGGCTGCTAAATGTGACCATTAAAGATAGAAGACACTTGTAAGTTAATAGTGTTTGATCCTAGATATCTTAGAAATATTGCTCGCATCTGCTGGGATCACCCGGTAGGTCTTGTACTATATCCTTTATGCAATCTTTCTTCTATATATTACCACCATTGAAGTAACTGCTTCAATGAATTCGGTGTTCATTATGTTGTGCTAATGAGGTATGGCAACTTGGACCGATGCCTATATGTGCCTGGTCCTACGTTGTAGCTGACTGATATGTAAAATGCCTTGCAGGTCAAAGTAATGGTTTTCATAGAACATACAATACATCATCGAAGGAAAAGAGAACGATGATTAGTTGTTAAAAAACAAAAAACTATTCAGTAACATGAAAGAGCAACCTGTCCAACTTTAGTTCCACTCAAATACCATTAATTACTATGCATAGGAGGGTGATTTGAAAACAAGATAATGAAGCGAACTACTGAATTGAGTTAGCAGCGCTATATTTCGTGGGTCAGGTCGAAGTGAACAAGAAAGCATCTGATTACTTCGTCTGTTAGGGACTAAGCCGGTCTAATAACATGGACAAGGGAATAAGTGAAAATTTAAGTCGACATCACTTCGGGTTGTCCATATGTTGGCCAAAATTCCCAGACATCGAACATAACTGAAAGTGATCTAAGTAATCTAACCTAGACCAAATTATTCAAATGAGTCGTGGTACTTTTGAATAGTAAAGTGAGAAAATAGCCAAAGTAGAAGAATAAGCTATGAGACAAATCAAGCAAACAAAATACAGGATGAGTGAGACATATCAAGTGAAGAATAAAATAAGCACAGAAAATAAGGATTACGAATCTTCACAAATTCTAAGAAAACAAACATAAGATTTGCACCTAAAAACATTTTCCGGTTTAGTTCTAATCAACAGTAAATCTAAGAGTTGGAATATAAACCGAAATTTCTGAATTAGCGGTCTTCGCACCTTAGAATACATAGTACTAGTAAACTTGAACCATGCATACAAACATACATTATTAACTTTCTACCCAATGCTCAATTTATTGGAAACTTGACATCGATATCTATAAACTGAGTATATTACCAATGCACAGATCAGCAGCCAAACACGTCAATAGGAATTGAAACGATATTTATACAAACCTGAGACAGACTAAACAAATAAAGTTTTATATGGCAATTTAATCCAAGCCCCTTCAAGAGAATCAATAAGTATACTTGTAAATAAGGAGTGAACATCGGGAATTGAGATTGTTTCATCACCTTTCATATGGCTAGTAGTATGTTGAATTCACTTGAAATTTTTGATTTCATGTATCACTTCCCGATCATTGAGTTTTATGATCCTGGCAAGATTATAAGTTGGTGAGTTTGTAGTCACTTGCCGCTCTTATTAGTGTGTTTGACAAACTCTGTCCAGGTGTAACTTCAGTTTTATGGTGAACAGAAAGATGAATTTAGCTTAAACGATAACCAAAGAATTCATTTGTTCACTGAAATTTAATAACAATGACACATCTTCGCATGACACTGCTTGAAAACATTTTACATCAAATGACTCACATGCTCAATCCAAACCAAACTAATACATGAACACGACTAAACACGCATTTAGTAAGGAAGAGTTTTCGATCTAATTTATCATTGATAAATTGATTAATTTCAAGTGGAATTTGGGAAAGATTCTCGGGGCACATGTTGGCATTATGTAATTCCAACTATTAGGATTTTAACAAACACAGTCTTCAAACACTCTGTGAACAACTATTTGGAACTACCCATTCAAAATCAAACGGAATTTTCCATAAAACGGTAAGCTATTTTTCGAAATACTTTACAATAATGATAAGCACATGGACAAACATACATAATCAAGAGTCGTTTTCGAACCTTGGAAGACCAAACTGTTCAGGTTTAAAATCAGACAGACAATTTAATCTAGTGACACGTGATACGTCAATGGATGAAGTTGATTTCGGAAAATTTCCAGGTGGTTCTCGTGGATCAGGAATCCATACAACGTGCATCCCAGCTGATAGAGCGGCTTCAACACCATTTGGAGAGTCTTCAAACACTAAAACGTTATCAGAGGAATCTGGAGGAATTTTAAATCTGCTAGCGGTAGTTAGAAATATATCCGGCATAGGTTTACCATGCTTAACCTAAAATTGATGTAAATTAAAAATGTGAGTAGTTTGGAAATTATAATGATAAGATGTTTTAAAGCTACAGAATATGTTAGGGTTGTGAACCTGATCTGAAGGACTTTGCTGAGTATGATAAATACAGTTGAAAATGTTTTTTTAATTACAACTTAATAACTATGCACACGTACATGTGAGATACTGTAAAAATATTCAGAGGATAAAAATGATATTACAAGGGTTTCTAAACTACTGTTTGACATCGGACTTATTAAGATTAATTTATTTTCCTTGCAATATACTAAGAATCCGACGTGATCATCTAGTAACTATTTTGGAATTGACATTGTGGCTTTCAGAGCAGGATATTTGCGAGCACACGAACAGTACGTTCATAAGCTCAGAACCGATTGCAGACCACTTATCGGTAGATCGACGAGTTTTTGCTGATGAGAGTACGAATCAATTCTGAAGTAACTTTTGCAAACCCGTACTTGGTGAAGTACCATAAATAACAACAGTAGGCTGTTATTGATCCTATGTTAATGACCTTCCAATTTTCACTTAGTTTTCAATGCTACTTAACGCCGATGTCAAAATATTGGGAGAAATGCAAATGATGATGTGGAAGAAATCCAGGTGAATCTTGATAAGCTAGTCTAAGACACGGTTAACAAATTACTGTAACAGTGTTTCGATACATGTAAGATAAATAGAGGGTGGCAATAAAAGAATCGGAAAGCACCTGTCATCAGTTCTTATTTACAATGACGGCTTGGAGACTATTGCCATTTGGTTATTGTTGTAGAGCAGTAGGCCACTGATGAATTCCACAAAGTTAGACGAAATAGGTTAGCTAAGCTTTAGATAGGCATAGTGTTATCAAATTACGAGATGAACTATTAAATGACTAAGAAATATATACACTCCTAATTACTTTTCCAACCAGGTAATCACAACTCAAGATACAACAGGAGAATCCAAAGTTATGAATGGAGTATAATCGTGATGTGCAGACCTTCCCATGGTCTTATTAAACTGACTCTCAGGATTCGCCGTTAAAGGAAATGGTACCTGCTTTCTCATCCTAATCAACTAAAAGACTAAACACATACTAAAGGATACTACGAAAGGAATAACAAAAATTCTTGGTTTTCTGATCTCAGTGCGAATTTCAAAGAAATTCATACGTATTCAAGAAATATACCAAGCTAAATATTTAGCTTGGTATACTAAAAACGGATACAAGCTTAGAAGCTTCCTGCCGTTGTTACGTACAACATAAGTAAAAAGGTACAGGAATGTGACAGGAAAAAGATAAGAACCTAAAACAGGAATGGAAGAGTTTAACTATACATTCGTTGCTACCCTGGTATATTACATTCTGGAAAGTTAAACGGGGATATCACATTTCTGCTTGGTCACATACTTACAGTAGGATCGTCACCAGAGCAAACAGAATGAGATACTTTGGTCATTATAACTTGATGACTTCTCATTTTCTGATCAAGTTCATAACTGCAACAACCAGTAGCTAGGGCCATAGGAATATTATGAGAAGCAAGATGCAAAATAAGTTTCTCTGCACCTGGTAAACACTGAACACTTTCCCATCTTTCTGGAGTAATGTATTTTGACTGCCTTTGGATAAATTCACTAGCACTTAGTGGCAAATTATAGTGCTTTACAAGTATTTCACCGGCTTCATGAGGTTTTCTTCCCATCATTAGTTTTTTTATGTTGTAGTCGAACTGTAAATTATATTCACTAAGAAAATTTGATGTGAACTCAGTGTATATGGATTCTGTATCCAAAATAAGACCATCGACGTCAAATATAACGTGAGTAATCTTAATCATATCATATCCAAGGTCAACTGATTAGTAAGTGCACAATGTCTAACATACTACATCGCCAACGCAACGTTGAACGTGTTATCGTGAAGTTTCAAATAGTTCATATAGTTGTGGACGGAATAGAAGCTTTCATTTAACGAACTTCTGTATCTAGTAGCAGTGGATCATCGATGCCTCCATGTAGGAAACTGGGTATATTTAACGATAAAAGAGAGAAGAATAAATAGTAGATCATAGCGAGATATTGTCCTTAGTCCTTAAGAATATGTCAAGTTTCCTTCTAAAGGACTCCTAGGGAGTAGCTTCCATTAGCTCAGACCGTAGCGAATTAAAGCATTTGACTAATCTTAGGTAGTAGAAGGTATTGTATCGGTAAATAAATCCCCAAATAAACAGCTCTGTAAGTTTTCGACGTTGGATGCTGACCTTACTCGTATTAATGGACTCACCTAGCTGAAGGCGCTCGGTCATGCATCCGCACTAGGTCACAAGTGGGAACGCCGTGCTCAACAACTCCTACAATCGCTAGCCAGATTAGATCAGACGATCCTCGAAATATTGATAGTCTATCAAATATGTCTTCAAACCTCTTCACTTCGATCCATTGATTTCACTTGTTAGGTACGATTCGTAGTAGAAGATGTTACTGGTTAAAGCGTTGTCAAACTCCAAACACCTGTGGCATCTCCAGTATGTCTACAGTCCGTTCTGCAGTATTTTTTCCGCTCTAGTGGTAACGTCTCTGACTGTGAAGCTGGGTGACACGAGATCGAATCCGCCAGGGAGCACCAGTTCCCTCAAGATTACAGGTACACCTTGCTGACGAGTGCCAAGTAGCACGAAACCCGGGTCCAGGGTTTCCTGTCGACTACCTCCAACCACCATCTAATCTGAGTAAGGTTATCTCAGTTCGTAAAGTTTTCCAAATGCTTCAACAGAAGCTGAAACTCCATTTTCAGTTCACTATTTTCACTGGTGAAGGATTCGATGAGGAGTTCTGTAGTCAGGTGGCAAGTAAATGGTCTTAGATTTGAAGACGGCCCCTTAAATTACCTTGAAGATAATAAAAACAGAGGACGGCTCCGATTTGAAGTACTCTTCAGTTAAATATTGACTACGGTTAGGTCACCTCTTTGAATATCTTCTAGTAAAATGGGAGCCTTGAAACTCCAAAAATAACTATAATTACGTTTCTTTGAACCTATAGGAACACCTACCTATTCTTTCAGACAGACGTCTCTGAAATCTGTGGAAAAGTCTAGGAACTAGCCTAAGCATTCCACTTTCCAAAACAGTTTCGGGAAAGTTTGACACCAAATTATTCAGTCTAAAGTCTTTCTCTATAAACAGAATTCAGTGAGCTAATTAAATCGGACATGTGATCAGTTTTCATAATAAGAGTAAAATACTGAAGTGTATGTGTCCACCGATGATAATGAGAGTTGAGCTACCCTATCACGTCTGTAAAAATGTACCTGTGAGACGAGATATTACCATGTATATAGGAAAGGTGTAAATGTGCCACAGATATTAATAGCCTCGACAACACCCTGTTCATAACACCTTCATAATCGGGGTTTCGGAATTTAGTCAAACTAAAAGTCAGGAATAGACGTATCCGAAGACATATTTGAAGGATAGTCGATATATCGAGAAATGTGTGATCTAAACAGACTGTGTTTCCAGGGTTGTGTGCACGACGTACTCGATGGCGATATGCTGCGTATGAGTGTCGTATCGCCTTAGGCTGGGTGTGTCCAGCAATACCAAGGGGTTCAGCACCAATTTCGAAAACTGGCGGAACCGTTTGTTTTGAAGAATCATTTAACATTACAGCTTGTGACCCCTCCTAATGCTGCAGTGAACACTAGACGTGATCAGCTAGAAAACCAAAAACAGCGAGCTTGCCGATGGCAAATACTTTTCTGACAGCTCGACATGATCGTCAGTATCTGGTCGTCTCTCGTTATCATAATAAGCCATGCGGTGCAACGTAGTGACAAAAACTGTGGAACGAATTTTTCGATTCATCACATTATTCGTCGGTTTTTAATATTTTAATGGTTCTAGAAAAAAGAATGAAAATGAAGGAGTACATCGAAATACACTCAATTGAGAAAGCAAGAGAAGCTTGCGGAAAACCCCTTACCATGCATCAGTGAGAAAAATTGAACGAAAGTTTTTTCAAGTAATCATGTATACACGCATATAAGCATATAAAAATGTTAGTTATTTTGTTTTTGTATAAACTAATGATTCCTTTGTACTAGATTGCCCGCTGACTCCGAATTCCAAATACAATACATTCATTCATGCTTATCTAGTCATATTTTCTGGAAATTGCAGTATTTCGGGAATCTTTAGTTAGCATATTAACTTTAATACTTCTAATTATCATAGCAACCAAATAACTGCAGGACACGAAAAATGCGGTAGAACATAAAAATTACACGTACACTGATCGTTCAGGTGTTCTGGAAAATTTACAGTTCTTCTACAGCGTATCGTTTTAGGCTAGTCATTGAAGCGTTGTGTCAATCACTTGTTCGGTGGGAAAGTCAACATGTGGCCTCTTTTTAAGTATGTAGCTTTTATATAGTCTATGCTTATGTTAATTTCAGTTTCGTTCTTATCAGTGACACTCTACTAAGGTTTTCGATGAAGGACTTCGTAGACTCCTTCTTATGGAGGTTCCAGAGGTTGACGTGATGAACCGGTCGACACACGTAAAGAGATAAGTGATTCACTTATAATCTTGTAGGGGTTCTATCAAAGCAAGATAGAAATGGTCGAAACGAGAGCCAGGAGTTGCGCCAGAACTCGAGAGACACCTGTTGTGTCTAATCATTTTAGGTTTCTGACAGTTTACACCTTTAGTGATAACAGGCCAGTCAAATCATTCTGCAATGTGCTTTGTGGTTGTTTTAATACCTAATTGTGCAAGTCGGGGCAACTTATTAAAAAGTCGCATGGATAATATTTTTGTATGATTGGATAATCCTTACCCTTGGACGTTTCTCACAGTAAAGTTTACTTACCTATGTTTACTTACATATCTTCGAGTCGTAGTGTCTTGGTTGTCAAGATTGACTCGTGCTGGTGATGTGTTCCCTTTTTGAATATGAGTATGTTTAAGAAGGGTGATCCCTTGTAAACTGTCTAAAGAAATTATACGAAACAAGGTGTCTTCGACTAAATTGTTCGCACCAGAAATATGTTGTATATCCGAAGCAAACTGTGAGATGAAGTCTGGTTGCCTAGACTCTAGAGGCGATCTCATGTCTGAAAATGAGCCTAGGGGAACGGTGAGGGGTTTATAGTCGGTATTAGAATGTCAAAAGCACCATAATTTATGATACAGAGAAAGCTTCCTACCTTGATTCAGTGCCTCTCAACCGTACCACGAAGGATACCATAGGTTGCTAGGTGTCACTGCCGATTATTGTATGACTCAGCCGGTTACCGAGCGATAATAATTTGCACCTTGATATCCATTGTGACAACTGACTAAACTGTGGAGAACGCCGTCCTCGAGTTGTCGTCCCACTTGTCGATTTTTGCATTTTCACGAAGTTGGTCTGTTGGGAGTTTCATGAGAGACGCGTGATTCGGTGTGAACAGACAATAAGGTCTTACCGGAACGTCGAATGTGCGTGTCTACCTGACTATAGTCATTTTTATATAATCAGAATTGGCCGCACCTTTGCTTTTCAGAGAGCTAATACCTTGGGTGTTAACTATGTGTCCGAGACTATAGCTAGGGCAATTGTTTTTCCTAAAAAAATTATGATAAGACGATGCTCCTGATGACTCTGTATCTACGTTTTTCCAGTTTATAGAAAGTGGGTTGATGTTGCACACTACAACGCTCCCACGTCCACTTGATTAGAATTTCATACTAGATTTGAAGAAGTCCTTTTTAATACTTTCAGAGCTAGAGTACACAAAACCGAATTCGATTTTCCGCCATTTACATTTAAACCGGGACTTCATCAACTCATGTGTCACTGAATCGTGTGCAAACGTAGCGACAGCTCATGTAACAGGCGTGCCTCAAAAGCGTAGGAAGACTCCACTTTTTCAATTGTTCAGTATGTTGGTCATACCAAGTTAGAAACCCAACTGAATTTCACTGTCACATGCATCTGAAGTTAGAGCTTTTCTCAGATGGCGACAAAATCAAGGTTTTTCGTGTCCACTACATTTTTGAAGGCAGCTTCTATATTCGGTAGGCGGTAGAGACTTTTGGTCATGTGAAGTGCCTTGATATGCCACCCGGAGTAGTGTCGAGCTCAGTCTGCTCGAAAATTTAGGAATGTGAGAATCCTTAAGTGCAACGTTTTCCTCCGTTTCCACAGCGCTAGTTGGATTTCGCTTCCGTAAGTTATATTTTAATACTATCTAAACTGCTGAAAACAGCTCAAACATATATTCTGGATCAACCCCGTTTATGTGAATTTTCCAACAGTAAGTTTTTTTCCTCTGTGGAAGTCAGAATAAATTCTAGAAACGTCTTGTCTTAAATTTTTAGGGATTCACATTTCGTCTTATTTTGTAGATCTTGTGTTTACTTAACTCTGCTTCTATTTCCGGAAATGAACTGCTTAGTGTTGACTTAATAGACTTACACTAGGCTGAAACCCAGACTTTGGGTCCTTTTAGGCCTACGAAAAATGACCAAAGTATTTGGAGAATCTGTCTTAGTAAATTTTGAGATTTTGTAGAATTATGTTCTGGTTTGGTATTAGTACATTTATCTTTGCTACTATGATAATAGACCTCATCCCAAAATCGTAGATTCGTCATTATGTGACCACATAATTTATAAGATCGTATGTAGGAATCATGCCACTGTCTGCGCTTACTGGTCCTATAGTGACAATCAGCAATACAATGTTTAGTGCTTCTGAAAAGCACATTTGGGATGGAGATAAAAAGCACATTTAATGTGAGGAAATACGAGTTACTCAAAATGACCATGTCTGCAGGGCTAAGCCATACTATTACCGATCAATTGTTCACGAGTTCACTATTGTCGACCTTCTGTGGTGCTTGAATGAACTAACGATTCATTTGTACATATTGAATGATTGATTTCGAATTCCAAATCGTTTGTGCTTATAAAATACTTCTTGATTCAATTGCTCCATTTCTGGGAATCCTAGTTTGTACTATAATTCAAATACTCTCAGTTGTCACCTCTCTATGTTAAATGTTGAGCATGAATTTTCTCAGTTATCTTACATTCAACTTCGACGATCATGTGGTATGAACCAACACCAGGAAAGACATTTCGTGCCTAATGGTAACCCCCGTCTTATTGATAGAGGGGAATAGACTGGTAGTGAGTGTGTTTTTATTTAGACCATGAAAAAGTCACAGAGGAGTAGGGGTTACCTCTTCAAACAAAAAGCTTTTCAACATTCAATATAAGATAATAGGGAATATAGTGTCTATACGAAATAAGGAAGTGAGGGAATACTTGAGCTCTATTACTTTGACATACACTTAGTTTTTCGAGGTCAACTTTCGACCAATCAACCAAAACTGTTACGACAGCTTCTTCCTAAAATCGACTTCCATAGGAACGTCCGTTTGAACAACTTATCTATCAAGAACACATACGTCCTGTTTCCGCAGCCCAAGGGAGAATAACCAACTCGTTCAGTGTTTAACTTTCGATCAATGACGACCAAGTCTGACAGCATTTGACGGAAGTCCATGGGTGCCCCTTTATTTAATAGATTGTAATCTTATCTTGTAGCATTTGATTTCTTCAACAAATATCGCTGATGGTTTGCTGCATACCCTCTGTGTGATGACCAGAGCTTGTAAGAGAAAAGAAAGTGAGGAAATGAGAAATGAATGTCTGAGGAATTGCTGCGAGCGAGCTACCTGAAACCATGTTTGTGAAGTACGATTTTTCCATGCTCTGTCCTGCTATCAAGTGTTTACTCACCTGCCTCTTGAGTCGCCCTCAAGTAAAAAAAATAGAGAAGGATCTACTCTAAAGGCAATGACGAAAACCATTCAAACCTGAAGAACTGTCCCACTGCCTGCAAAAAATAATAAGGTACAGAAAGTAAATAAACAAATATACTTGATAATTTTTCGGTCCCACGTAAGTGTTTGGCTTCGAGAATAAATTGGTAATCTGGGTAGGAAATGGACGTGGTGTAGAGATCCTGCGTGTGAAAAGATATGAAAGCAAAAAATTTACTCTTTTAAAGTGCATATATGTAAATGCGTGAACTTGCGAGAAGTTGAACTCTACACCAAACCCGATCAAATATGAAGCCTTGAGTTTATGATTACTGCCTTTCATAACCGAGTTCGTAACTACGGGTGCATAAAAGTACTCCCTAACCAGGAAAAGCAGAATTTGCGGCTAAGGAAGAAATGAAAAGCAAAACATTTCGAAGATTGAATATATTTTATGGCTTGATGTAGGTATGCATGATATATTGGGGCTACATTTCCTCAAGTTACTTAGGTAACGAGTTGGTTTGCACCTCACGGGTGTGCAAGTTCTATTAGTCATAGGTATTATAAGTAATTGATCAGTGTTATAAAATACTGAGGTCACGTTCACCATTGGTTGGCGTGGCCTATTGGTTAGGTCTGTGGTCTAACGTTCAGGAGGACAGAGGTTCTAGCGCTTGTGAGGTTGGTGTTTTCGTCAATTAAACTTACATGAATACGGTTTTCGCTGACTGTGAGGTGCTCAGACATGAGGAAAATAACTACAAAAAAACGGATTGGTATGCCGAAGTGCCCTAACAAGTCAAATTGTAACACCGTGTTAGGTGCTTAAAGTACGGATATTACAAGTGTTTTTTATTCATATTATTAATAGTCAAATAGAGAGACCACATGTGTGGTAGACTTCAGCCATACGACAATAACTTATATAAATTTTTCTTACATAACACTAGTGGTAAGTTCCGAATTTAGACTACTGATAATAATTGGTTTAACGTGAGCGTAGCCGTGAGATTCATTTCACAGACTTAATGTTCTGATTATCTAACGAATCATTTATAGAATGAGTTTGAAATTGTGTATTTCAAATCAATATAACTCATATAGCCACCTTACAGGCAATATACTGTACGATGTATTCAGTTAGATAAGTGCTTGTACACTGTCAAAGTGGGTGCAAACCATGAGAGTATAGGTTTTAGTCAATCTGGGTATAACTCTAAACCCGCCTCTATGAAAATGATATGAACTTTTGGTCAGTATTTGTGTAAACGTAACTGTGGGAAAACAACACCATTTGTGTAAATAGTCATTAGTCAGGTTATCGACTGCTTTAGCTCTTAGTTTCATCGCTGAAACCGACCATTTTACGTGCTTATCAAATCGTAAGAAAGCTTCATGCCGCTGTCGAGAAACCATTTATGAACAGCCTTGATATGGGAATTCGCTATGGGAAATAAAATAGGTCGTGCTGTTTCACACGTTCAAGGTTTTTGATGGTTCAGAACACGTTCATAGTTCTTGATTCGGAAATGCCAGAAATTAAAAAAGCAGTAGAAAAAAATTGAATGATGCCAATGAAACTGAGTTATATGATTTCATTAAAAATAATTCTGCAGGTGTACTCGTTAACTTAGTGCATAACCTTTGTAAGAAATGTGAAAAATTATGACAATGAGAACCACTAACAATTATTTATCCATTGTTTCATCTATAAAGCTTAGTCTAAAAACCACTTGTTAATATTAGTATTGGTCGTATAAAACTATTAAATATATCTTATACTAAAAACCGTTTACGGAGTAGTTCGTATGAAATGCGTACAGCCAATCTAGGGTGAAAATATATATGGGTTAAGAAATACTAAAATCATAGCAAATTAACGGGAAAAAGGTGAAACTCGCCTGGATTATCTTGTGAATTTGTCGTCAGAACATGCTCACATCACTCACCTCAGTAGAAGATTCTTCGTTCTATTGTGACTTACTTCTTTTAAAGTTTTCGATTTATATTACTCAACGGTTGTTTACAGATGACTAGCTTATGTATTCAGTATTTAAATAAAAGAAGTATAACGCTCATTCATCGAAAGCAAAAGATCCGAGGAGGTGTGGGTAGCATAATATTTCAGATTGCTACTTTTTTGGCAATGTTTTTGTTAATTAAGGAAAATAGGTGAAACAGTACGAGAACATTTTTTTAGTTAAATGAGCACAAGATCTTAATAGATATGTGGGTATATATTAGGCCGTAGCCTAAACTGTGGATATTCTTGACTGAATAATCGACTGTGCCCATCTAACCCTTTTAGTGAAGATGTCACAGGTGTTTGTAGTTTGACAACGCTTTAATCAGTAACACCTTCTACTACGAACCAAATTTGATAGACTATCAATATTTCGAGGATCGTCTGATCTAATCTGGCTAGCGATTGTAGGAGTTGTTGAGCACGGCGTTCCTACTCGTGACCTGGTGCGGATGCATGACCGAGCGCCTTCAGCTAGGTGAGTCCATTAAAATGAGTAAGGTCAGCATCCAACGTCGAAAACTTACAGAGCTGTTTATTTGGGGATTTACTTACTGATTCAAAATCATTAAAACAATCAAGCCAGTTGATGATTCAGTGATAACATTGGAACAGATTACATAAATAAACACTATGAGTAAAAAGTATAAAGATGCTGCAAATTTCTGATGAATACAAAGACTTGGATCGTTAGCTCGACTTACTACAGCTACTGCTATGTGTAAGAGACGAGATCAAACTCAATGAGGAAAACTAGTGGGAATTCCATAAGCCACCTTAGATGGCTTATTTCCGTTTACTGCATAGCCGCTGTCGATCACTTGTTATATAACTGAGACGCGTATTGTTTTAACGGCAGTATTTCCTAACCACGAAGGGGGATGTTTACTAAGTCGTTGGCGCAGTTGTCTGGTATTGTGCCCAGCATAGCTTTCTCCGGAGAAGCAGATAAATACTAGCTTATTGGGGACTTTTTTCCTATACATAATTCTACTGACAGCATCACCTTCTTTTGTGTTTAACGAAACACCAAGGAAGTATAGTTCTTATTGCATAACTTTATAGTTTCTTCAATATTATCTCAGCATCTATATTTTCCACAACCAGAACACTTTATTTGTACTCTTTGTTTGTTTTGTTTATTTATGTAATCTATTCAACTGTTATCACTGAATCATTAATTGGTTTGACTGGTTTTACGATTCCGTATATGCATATAGATTTTACTTTATATTAGAGTAAAGCCTGATGAAGGTCTAATTGAAACGGAAAAATATCGCTTTTCATTTTTACCATGAAAATCGTTCACAAAACTTTCAAGTGATTTAATGGTCACTAAAAATATTTTTATTTTCATGTCGAAACGCTCTAACTAGTTTGTAGTGTTTGTTTGATTGTGTTACAGCACTTTGTTTTGTCCAATAAGAGACGTGCCAAGTGTACGTGATAATTTGATTACTGTTTCCACATGGATAAGTCTGTCGTTTTTTGTATTATTGTGATTCTCACAACCTTTCTAAATATCATACATGCGAAGAAGTATGACCCATCAAATTGCGAAGGTAACATAAGGTAGTTAATTCGTTATTTCAATAGTGTGCATTAAGTTCGTTGGCTCCTTCATCCAGTCACTTGAGCCTGACGATTTTCAGTCACCACAGAAAATCAAAGATGCATTTATGAAAAGGTGTGAGACTTCAGTTGGAAAGGATAATAGTTTCGTAAGCTATATTATTTGTCTCTAAAGCCCGTAGTGTTATTACGTTGGCGGCCTTAAAACATCTGCGGCGAAGACTGTTAATACTCTAGTTGACCCAATTTCATGGAAGATGCCTGTGGAAAAGATCTGTGAAAAACTGTTTAAAGTAGACTCTCAAATCTGTGATCTTAGATACGGTAAGTGTGCTTTGTCCTACTTAATTTCCGTTGTCAGAAAAAGTTGTAGATCTTAAGGAGTTCAACTTTGAAAAGTCCAAGGTGAGGGATCTCAAGAAGATCATCGAGAGATGGGGGTTAGAATGTCGTGGTTGTTCTGAAAAAAGAGATTATATCGGTTTGATTAAAAGTAATATGCACAAGCATGATCCTGAAGCAGCAGCTTTTCTTCAAGCAAGAGGGGAGCTTTGACTTTTTTGATATGTTTTTATGTACAAAGTTATTTATGAGTTTTTAGTTTTCATATATTCGTTCACTTTAATGAAATATAATTTTGGTCCTTACTGTTTCAGTAGCTTGTATAAAATAAGATGAATGGGGATGAGTGTATCTACTAGATCCATCTATCGATTTGTAAATGTGACATATGTTAGGTTGATGAAACTCTGTTTTAGCTGTGATCTTTTGTTGACGTGAGTGGTAAAAGTTAGTTCTATATTCTTTAGAGGTGTATAACACCTAGGTGTAAATGTAATTGACTTCGAGTGACTTAACAGTTGAGTCGACGATGAATTTCAGAAAAAGCTTACTAACGTAGCTTCAACTATGTATGTTTATTTGCACAGTGATACCAGAAGTGAAAGTCAGTAGGTAATAATTGATAAACTAAGACCCAAGTCGAATCGTTGGTGAATGGTACTGACGTGAAAAGCAGTTATAGGGAAAGTTTATATATGTCAATTTATTTCTAAATCACCGTTTACTGGAGTGGTTTCGACATAATGCTGTCACCCAGTGTACATATTCTTGCGGGCACATTAAAATCAGAACGAAAGAAGTCACCAAATGTCCTCATCTTGTAACCGAGAAAAGGGGTGGCTTCCCAGATCCTTATATATATATATCACTTGGGTTTTATTTCCACATTCTTTATAAGCTTTAGGGACATTTCATCTAGACCTTTGTTTATTTTACCACATAGGTATCGGTACCAGAGGGCACCAAGTACATAAACGCCACACAAATCTCATTTGATTTGTGTGGGGGATGTGATACTGCCGGGGTGCCCTAGACCTTTAGTCTAAATTTTATATTTTATTGCTCTTATGGCAGTGTCCTTGACGCTATTATTACCTCCATCAAATACGTTCCGTGAAATTCAAGTAGATTTCCTTACGTCTTGTGATATCCTTGCTTAATGTTAATGTTTTCACAAAGCTTCTAAAAGTGACCGTTATTATTTGTAGAAGATAAATTCAAGATCGGGTTAAAAAATGATCAGCCTCCTTACCACAACCCTGGTATTTAAAGTGTTAAACAGTAGTTATTACTCAGTTTTCCCTTAAACTTAATTTATGAATCCAGTTTACAATGTGAATATAATTGTTTGGGATTTTTCTAGCAATTATTATTCAGATATTTTCTATCGCCTTTGAATGTAAACATAATTCTTTGTAATATTTCGAGGTGCCGGGAAACTGACTAATTTAAATAGAAAAAGGTTAGTAACTCATTATGAACATAATAACAGTATGGAGGTGCAATTTTGATTTCTCCTTTTGTTTTGGTGTGAAAGTAATTGACTTTTGACAGTGATTGAGTTCACGTAGGATATCTTTAGGTTCCCTTTTTTCGGCGAAGTTGGTAAAAACTTTCGTTTATAGCTTGTGCAAAAGGAACCTAACGATCGTCCATCGAACAGTTTTTTTAAAGGTTAGTCATAACCACCTTGACATAGATATCCCAAAATTATTTAAAAGCGTTACTCCTACTTTATCGCTTCAATAAGGAATCCAAATTCAGTGGCGAACTTTTAAGGCAACTTGGTAGCGTCGTGATACAATCAACATTGGCTTATCTCCTAGTATACTGTTTTAGGGAGAGCCTAGAAGATACTGTTCGCTGACCAACGACTAGTAGATTTCACTTATTTAAGGAATACATGGATAATACAATTGTCATCTGTGACGAAAACAACGAAGTTAAAGACCTTCTATACTAATATTAACACTAAATAGTGTTAGACACTGTTAGCTTTAAAAAAAGTGCTGTAAGTAGGTAAGCAATTCATATTTGGTCGAATTTACTTTCGTTATTCTTAAAGGTATTGGGAATGACGGATTTGTTAACGCTGGTTTCGCCGCACTATGTGTGCAACATAGTTTTTGTATTTGGCTAATGGATGGTCTAATCAACGTGTTTTTATTAGTTGTGGCTTCAGAACTAATTTAATTTTAAACGAAAGGGTTGATTTTCACTCAATTCTTTACCAATAATGATTCGGTTTAACTGATTAAACATTTCAATGCAAAGATACTTTTAGGTAGTTAACAACCAATAAGAATGTTAAGTAAATGAAACGAGTTCATATCGTCCTAATTTAATAGACCACTGCTTTTTTCATATTCACAACACTAGAATAAACGAGCAGAGAATTTCTGAATATTATATTATAACTACATCAAGTAGAAATGTTGGTTTAGGCCTTTTAAGAAAACAGATAGATTATTTCATGACTAAAGTTAGTGTTTTGAATATGTAGTGTTTGTCTTTATTAGAAAGGAAGCTCTGAACATTGGTTTTCTCAGTAATAAAGCTGACAAGCACTAGGTCAGTTTCGAAAATTGAGAGAATTCCAACAGGGCAAACGATTTTCGATCGATTTACAATTTTCAGGTTACTTTATTGCAATTTCATAAACTAAAATAAAAGCGCGAAAAGAATAAAAAGCAATAGTCAATTATTCATATACTACTTCCAAGTAGATTAACTGTTGTATAGTGAAAGATATTCAACCTAAACATTTGTTATTGACTTTCTGGCGGCTTTCTATAACCCCAGACTACTTAAACACACGAAGTCTAGTAGTAGAGAAAACGTTCAAAATATAAGTAAAATCTTTGAGCCAAGTTTCATTTGTATACAGAAAACAGGCTTATTTGGAGTTTTTGATAACCGTTAATTTGCCATTTCCAGAGTTCAAACAACAAAGTAATCGTCCAATTAGAATTTAACGCTACCTGCCAATTTTCTGTCTTTGTGTCGTATACTGATTGGATTAAATGATAATAAACTGTGGCGTGTGCTGATTGGACGAAATGATCATAGGCTGTGGCGTATGCTGATTGGGCGAAATGTTCTTACTCTTTTTCTTTGCCACGTATCAATTAATACAGTTGGTTGACTTCACAAATTTAAGCAAAGCAAAAACGACATTAACAGAATAAAACGAATTTGTTGTATTTTATTGTCCCCAGTTCACCTATATACGAGTTAAGGTGTTTGATTTTTTCTAACTAGTAATATAATGTTGAAATTGAATTATGAATCAATTCATGTGTGTGGTGTGAAAGAAGTTAGGAATTAAGTTTTAAAACATTGTTCGATAATCGGCCAAGGTAATTTTAGAATGCTAAGCTCATTTTACTGGATTACAAAACAGCGTTTTTTTGTAAGTTTAGAGAGAAAGTGGACATATGAGATCAACTTACTAAATAGTAACATGGAAGCTAACCACTAACTTTTTTGAATACAAAAGTCAGGGTTCAAGCCTTCAAATCCCCATGGCTCCTGCAAATCACTAATAGATACGCCGTGCTACGCAGCCCTAGAGATTACATACTTCCCAACGTTTCGACTATCTTCCAAATATGTCTTCGAGTTCCCTTATTTCCGACTTATAGGTTGACTGAATTCGGGATCCTCGATTATAAAGGTGCTACGAACAGAGCGTTGTCAAGCCCCGAGTATTCGTGACATCCCTGAGGTGTTCAGATGTTTGAATGTTTATATTTTAAATAATGTTTGTTAATTATCTTGAAAGACTTTATGACGTGTCCACTGTCAGCATAATTAAGAAATAAAGGGCACTCAATTTACCCCCTTTTTACGGAATCAGTCTCCATAGCTGGTATATAAGAACTTTCGTCTAAATTTGATCGAGTAGTTACATAGTACCTGGACACCAAGTAGATGTACGACATTAAGGAGGAAGAATGTAACTAAATTTATACCAAATTTATATACCCAAAAATATGTCAATCTTCTTTTGTAATTGTAACCTGATTTAAAAATGTTCTTTGCGTAACCTATTTTTTCCGTGACACTAATTATAATTTATCTGGTTTGTACTTAGTCAATTTTATCTTATATTTTATTTATTATATAACTGTAACATTAATCTTTGATTTCTTAACGATTTTGTTTCTATCCACTTGATTTTTATTCTAGAATATTCATATATTCAGCGTTTAGATATTGAACTATATGAGCATCTCTTCTAACTATCCCATGCTCATTACTCTTCTCATTAATCTTGATTGATGAGAATTTGTCTGATATTATGATATAAAGTATGTACACCATATTTTTAATGATTACTACAATGATGTTTGGATTGAAAGCATTTGGAGGGTAAATAAGAAACAAATGATTTGATGTTATTGTGATAGATTTGCTGTTCTTTGGACAAATAAATAGGTAAATATGCGACCCAGTTTTATGCGATTTTCTTAAAATACAAGTTTAAACTTTATAGTACTGATATAACGGATTTTCAAAATATTTCTTTCCTCCAATTGTTTTACGATGATACGTTAATACGATAATGAGACTAGTCGCGTTTTATCAGATCCAGGATTCACGAGCCGGAATAGAGAACTAGAGTACAGACTGGATAATACATTATTCAACAAAATTAAAAGTGGTCACTCAGTGAGTCCCGAGGAGAAATTAGTAAGAGGAAAAGAAACCACATATTTTGTAGTCAGTATTCCGTAGCGATTTGTCCACGCTCAACGACCAATCATATTTTAGTTCCACTACCACATATCAAGTATTGATAGATTTGAACGCTTTACTCATATATTAAGACATCAAATCGTATTCTCTTCATAAAAAATGCTTGCTCTTTATCAGGTAGAACAATTAAGAGACAAGTAAAGACAGTTGCATGCTGTGAAGTGTTTTGTTTGACTGACTTACCCAGTTTACTCATGGTGACGTTCAGTTATATTTACTTGACTATGACCTTTCACCAAGGGAAAAGAAGGCTTGATTAACTCCGAAAAATTTACTGGTTGAAATTATTTCCCAATCCAATGAATAATCTAACCATAAAGCTCAAAATTTACATAGAATTTCATTATATATGAACACTAAGACCAAATGCTTCTTTTCTCACCTTAGGTATACGTTTATTTTTATTTTGTATAAATTCCATAAAGGCATCGTATCCATGTGTCTCTTTCATTTTCCCATTCAAGCTTTCTACTTGTCCCTTATATGATTGGGTTTTAACATTTTCAAATTCACTTTTATTGTATGTCGTGTTCGCACCATTACCTTTGATAACTTTCCATTGTTTCGGTGGAATATACCATGCACCATAATGTAATCTTTCAAAATTCTGGTATTATTAGTTAATAGTCGAAAGGAAACAGGTCAAATACTCTTAGTGTTGGTTAAATATACGTAATGGGCTTATTAAATACATCCGTCATACTTACATGTTATTTACTAACAAGTACTTTTGATATTTCCTAGTCGTCACCCTCTTTCCATTTGTATTTTGTCGATACAACTTGTCCCATGGGATTGACCATTCTCACTCTTAGTAAATTAATCTATGGGTTACTTAGGTTTACTTATTTAATCCTTTGTAGGCTCGGTATATAGAACTTTCACTCCATTTAAAATTTTTTGTTTTAATAAACTATATGGTTTATATGTTGATCGATCCGCGTTAATTCTACCGGACTATCATGGATTGTTGTTTCCAACCCCGAAGCGCTTCATCTGAATAATATTATTTCATCATTCAACTTATATTTATAGTGCAGAAAACTTAGCAGCGTTCTAAAGGTTCCTGTTTATTTTTAGAATTTCATTTGTATTGATATTAAAGAAATGTAAGATGTAAATATCAGTTAGTTCCAACCTAATTATAAAGTTTTATTGCAGTTTCTATTACGAAGAAAAATACTGAGATCAAGGTGTGTGAACCATTAGACACTGTTACTGGCACCAGTATAGATGCTGGATAATATTTAACACTAAGAAAAGCTGAGTTAGTAAGAATCATTGACACTAATCGCCAGAACTGGCTGATGGTATAAAAACTTCTTATTTTTCACTGTTAGATTTCATCTGACTGTATCATTCATGCCTTGAAAGTTCATTCTCATGTTATATGGATCGTTAGTACAAATAAGTGAGCAATTTGAAATTTTGTGATTTAAGACTATTCAACTCAACAAACAGCAACCAGTTGATTGAACTACTCTATTATGGTTATCTAAGACTGTAGTCTGTTTGATTATCGTATTCACAATGAGCTGAAAGCGGTACTAGACAGATAGTATAACCATTATTTGAGACTTGAACTGTGTGAACTCACAATACTATAATGGTTTCACCGACTATTGAACTGACCTATGTCAACAAATGTAGGGATCTTGATTAAATTTTTTGAAATATTTATAATCTATGGTTGCAGATGATTCCATAAGTAACAGAACCCCATGACCTACATGTCTTGAGTGGTCGTGTTATCGCTCACTAGTTTTTTCGAAATTTGAAATTCATAGAATTTCCAACTTCATTGAACTTGCAATATGGATTCTATATCATTCAATGTAATCTAAGAATGTCCTTCTGTATTACCGACTCAGTTTAATTCATGGAATAAAGTACATAACACTAGGGTACAATCATCAATCAGTAAGGGTTCATCATCATTGTGTTGTGCCTGGTTGATAAAACTAATTTATCGGGTTTAGGTTTATGAAATTGTCTTTGAACCCCACCTTTTTGTGCCAATAATCAACCGCTCAAGTTAAATTAAGTCGAACAAAATTTGACTCTCTCGTCTACTGGATCACTAAGTAGTTGATTTCACTAGATTAAATACAGAAAGCGTAGGTAAAAGCCGAGTAGATGGACTAGAACTAGTTTATACTGTTATTGTTCATGAAGATTAGTGGAGGATTGCTTGCATTGTGAACAGTTTCTAAATCTCAGTGGTCTATAGGTTAAGAGCGCGGTACGAAAGGTCCTGGGATCGAATTGCGCGTGCGGGATCGTGGGCGCACACTGCTGAGGAGTCCCATACTAGGACGAAACGACCGTTCAGTGCTTCCAGGTTTTCAATGGTGGTCTAACATGGATCGGCTCATGATCTCAATTAAAACTCAACAATATTTACAGCCCCATTCTGTTAAATCCTGATATATTTGGGATTTAAAAACTTATATGACTTGATTTGTTTTAAAAACGATTTGGGTAAATTAAAATACAAAGATGCTTTCTGTAAGAGCCTTCGATCAGTGGTCTTATAAAAGAGAAAAAAACACTGAGGTTGTTGTCTTTTTAAATAGTTGTTAAATGGTTAGCAGTGATGAGTATCTTTATCTTAAAATCGTTATTTTATAATATCTTATTAAACGACTACAGATAATTACCTTTTCTTGCCTTTTAGCCGCATTTGACTTAGTTATACGCGGTAAACTCTCTGAATCAGTCAAAGAATGCTTATCACAGAGTAATTTGGGTGGTTCTTTAATAGAGTGTCTTAATTCATATGGTAAATTAATCAATTCAACAATATTAATTGGTGTTGATACTGGGGGTTGGGCTTCATGTGTTCCAGCAAATAAACTTGCTAGTGTTGTCGGTTCCGGATTGTCGATTGATGAACCATCCAAATTCTTAATAAATTCACAAAATGCTAATGTTTCTTCCTTGATTGATGGGTACTGTTAAGAAAAAAACGGAATTAATAATATCCTGTAAAAAGAACACTCTAAAATGAGACAATTTTTAAAATCTTTAGGTAAATTAATAGTGTGAACTGAGAGCCAAATACCAGGATGTTCTCATGAATTGTTATGATTTATTAACTGAATCACCTCTGTTAAGTCCATCACATTCAATCGTTTAAAGTTAAAGAATATCATCTACTGAAAAGTCTTTCAGTAGTTCAAATTGGTTAGCGTTTTAACGACCACGAGCCTTGCGATTCCTATTTATGCTTCGTGAGATCTTTATTAACATATTTTTATTGTTATTTGAACACATAAATATTGGTAAAAAGGGGCACCAAATACATATGCGCCACACAAGTCACTTGGTTTGTGTGTGGGCTGTGATACTGTCCGGGTGCCCAGACCGAAGCAGGTGGTTTTCTTAGAGGGCCATGCCCGGAGCGTTCAACCTAAAGGTCTGATCCATAAGGCGGTGGAGCGACGTAGAGAGATGCAGTCCCATGGCAGCCGGTGATCAACGATAGATTCATACGCCATTTGTTCCCTCAGGATCCTGGAGCCCATATGCACCATTGGTTTGGAATCACGGTTTTCCAGTTCCTCTAGGCGGATTCTCCGTGTCCACTGGCCCGATTAAAATGCCGGACATTTGCTTTTCGTCCTCTCGATTCCGTTAACAACACCCACTACGAGAAGGTAGTGAGTAGGACTCCCCTGACAGTGGCTGTATACGCGCAGCTATGTGAGAGCGTTTCGAGAGGGAGAGCGGATTCTCCCCACCCTCGGCCGTACCAGAGCATTTAGAGGCAACTCATTTCGTATATTTTCATTTTTAAATAAGATGGTTCATATATATACTGTTGTGAAAAGTATACGTAAAATCAGTTTGGCTTGTTAGTGAAAATAATCATAGGCACTTTCTACAATCCTACATTGATCAGATACCAGTTTGAGAATATTGAGCAAATTAACTAAAGTTCATATACTAAGTTCATACACTAAGTTATCAGATATTTTTTCTCGTATATCATACTAAGTTCTTTAATTTAATAATTAAATAAAGCAATACTGAACAAAATCTGTTAAAATTCATTATTCATAACAATAATGAAAATCTAATTTCGGTTAACCTTAGTAAGTATATGACCAATTCATCATCATTTTACATACTCTCTATCTATAGTATACTGTGTTTCTTTGGATTTAGCATTACTGTTAATAATTTCACAACTTCAGATTTATTAACTGATACACAATTCGAAAATTACTTTAATCAAATGAGTTCCCATTTTTTTTAGTCACTACCAATAGATAAAAGTGATTGGAAGTGAAAGTGATATAAATTACTGTTGTTAACTCGAACAGTTAAATGAGTCAGTTGAAGAAGGAAGATAAACAATGATTTTAGGTGTAAATTTATTTCACATTTAAACACTAGATTCTAAATAACATTTCAATTTACTCCGTCGTATACAGATATACTCTACAGTGATTATTAGTTAAGTTCAACCAGCTATGACTTAAAATACTGTCATGATAAATTAACACATAGTTTAATTAGTGAGAATATAACTACTTGTCATACAGAACTAATAATATTTTGGACTAATGTGTAGTTGCGCGCTTGATTTCTTCTTACCAGTTATCAGCTAATTTCACGGGTTCCAAATATGATCAACAAGTATCGTGATATGTAAACATTCCAAATTTTTAAAATGTCAACGGAATGGAGTGAGATATCATCGTTCTTAAGCATGATAGAGGTTTACATATGGTTATCATAAAAATCGTGATTATAAAGAAGGAATATTATCCATTTTTAGTGATAAGACCTTGTTAATGACAAGGCTTTCGTTGAATGATATTAGGAAATTAAAAAGAATGGTTTCGTGAAGTGTTATAACTGAAAAGAAATTCAACTGTGCAAACCATTTGTATCTAAACTCGCGGACTGAGATTTATAAACGCAACAATTGATATTAATACTAATTATGAATTTACGAGACGGTTAATAAAATTTGGCTAAGCCCAACCGGAAACAAACCATGTTAAACAATTTTTTTAAACGGTAGGTAGGTAGTTACAGACTACTTGGTTGAAGTTCATATAATAAACACGATCGATTGTTGAAGACTTTTGGTGACAGCTTAGAATCTGTCACACTGGTGTAGATGTATTCACTGTTTATCTTCCTCAAGCTTTTGAGTTTTAACGTTTATTACTAAGTATTTTCTCATTATTGCCTTTGCACTATATACTTAGTGTTCAGTTTCTTTTAGTATCATTGCTGTGACATTATTTTTATTGTTTTACTAATCATGTTTTTAAGTTTATCTGATCAATTTAATGCGATATGGTAATTTAGGTCAGTGCATATTTCTGTTAGGTTCTATATTTATTAAGGATGATTGACTTCCTAAAAGAAGTGCACTTAAGCCTATTAACTTTTATAACATCATTAGAAATGCTTTTCGCTTATTTTTATTTAGGCTTTGAAGCTTATTTAAACTTCGGTCAATAAAATGAATTACTTGGTTTGTTGACTGTCTAATTATGGCTTCGTTAAAATATTATACTGATAAATTAACATGATAGCCTATGCTTGAAAAAGTTGAATGAATGAATTAAAACGGAAAACAACTAACTTCAATGAACATTTCTGGTTCAATGGAATCTTCATTTTCAACGTTTGATTGAATTGAGCTAACTGAAGATTGTAACTTACTATCACTTCTGGAATTTTTTTTGTAAAAAAAGGACATAAAAGGGGAATGTTAATCGATAAATCTATCCATGAACATTTTATCGATCTTGATCATATTGATTTATGTGAATTATTTTCGAAAATTATCTACACAATCAAATGATTAACTTTAAAGATAGAACCGATAATGGAAACTTGCACATTAAAAATGCTTTAAAAAGTCAACAGTTTATACTGTAAATTTCGGTGCAAAATTGACACGTGTAACATCTCTTCTAATTTATTTCTTTTTAATAAGTCAGTTATTATTAGCGTCTTCCGAATTTTTAGAATGAATATTTGTTGACTGTTATTTTTTCCACGTTATTCATTTCTTCTTCTTTGTCTGTCAAGTAGATAATTATCTCTTATCTCACTGATCCGTAAGTTGTTTTTACCTCACTATTTTTTAATTGAAATCATGAACCGATTGGTGTCGAACCAACATTGAAAACCTGTAAGCACTGGAAGGCTGTTTTTTCCCATTGTGGCACTCCTCAACGGGACGCATCCGTGATCCCGCCCACGGGATTCGAATCCATGGTCTTTGGTCTCACGCGTGAACGCCTAACCTCTGACTATTAAACCGGCATCCAACAGTGTTAATGTCTAACCTCAAACAATCGGCGAAATCGCGCGACCATCTTCCATTGTATTGAGGTATATACCTGTCTCTACCCGACATGGATTAGCTCCACTGGTTACGGCTTCACATTAGAACTCCGAGAATTCCCTTAAGAAGTTAGTCACTAGTGAGCATCTGATAATTATCATTATGGGTTTGTGGAGATTAAAATTGAAATTATTACACAATCGTCTTGTGATATTTGGATTCTCTGAACAATTTTTATGATGTACTCTTATTATATTAAAAATATATATATTAATACCTATTTTTCACATCAGAATAAATACGACTGTATAGTTTCAGTAAATGATATTTGTCGAAGAGAAAATTTCATTGACTGAATTTATTTCATTTATTCATTAATGGGACAATGGGTCTCATTCATTACAAGAAAGATTTTAGTTATCTTATGAACTAGAGAAAAAATGTGAATAATGTAATGCTTCATTTAATATCCATGACATGAAAGTATGTTATCTTTGTTTAGCCTCAAGAATGGTTAGGATCCATTAAGATTTGAAAGAAAAAAATAAAATGCATCCTGTTTGCGCAGGTATTTTTTGTCATGCGTTGATAATTTATGACTTATAAGCTGCACTATTTCTTCAAATATAATTGCTTCTAATAAGGTCTTCTCTCGGAAGACTGGCAGAGTTTGGTTATGTGGAAAGTAAAACACTTTCTTCCAATAGCACTTAACAGTTAGTGCTGTTTATTCCAATGAATTCTGACCCAATGGTCTAGATGTGTCGTATTTACTGTAGTACCTGTGTTTAGTCTCCGTGTCACGACTGTCCTTTACTAAGTGTAGTGAACAAAACACGAGCGGGGACAGTCGGAAATAATTGACACAAAGCATCTCAATAAAAACTGACAACCATATTGTAAATTGTTCATTTGCAAAATATCAATCCATCATCTCAAACTTGACTGTTCCTGTTGCAAAAATCAATCCATTGTCTCAAATTTCATTGTTCATGCGTTTTCATACCAATTACGTCCCGTTCCCGTCCTTTTCTCATCGATTTTCTACTGAAATACATTCTGTACCTGACCACCGTTATATACTACTTGTATAAGTAACACGCACCACATTAAGGAGTCTCAAACCAGGATGAATTAGCTATCCAGTGCTCCATAGTTTTCAATGATTCCGAAACTGAAGTTATTCTGTCACAAAAATCATCATATTTAACTAATCTTCACAAGCCAATCAATTCATTTTAATTATAAATTACCGTGAATTTAACTTACATTAAACCACCATTTGATTGTTTAGATAACTTTATCCCTGTTTTATTATGAACATTTTCATGAATATTCTGATGTTTTGCTATTTTAACCAAATCTATCAATTTTTCCTTATGTGGTCGATCTAACAAATCAATTACTGTCTTCGAAACCTTAATCATAAGTATAAAACGAATATTCATAACAGATTGATAAGGAAAAAAAATGTTGAAACAAAGGTAAAAATAAGTTTGATCCATTCAAAATTCTTAACTGATTATAAAGTTGTAGCTTAGGTATATGACATCGAATCATTTAAGTCATACATTTGGAAACCTTTCTCATTTAATAAAACTTGATTGGTTTTATTGTTTTAATTAGTTCTACTTAAAAGGTCAGTAAGATATAAATTCTAGTTCATAAGTCAATTATTGATTATTGAGTTGAACCCATTAATTGTAGTAGTCTAACATCGATCAATTTATGATCTCAATTAAAACTCAAGAATCTTCACAATTTTGTACTAATAATTGTAGTTTACTTTGAAATTAAAGCGAGACTTAGGTCAATAGTATTCATAAACAATAAAGGTTAAATAATTTTAAGGAATTGAACTGCTGAGGATGAGAATAATCAAAATAATTTAACTTATTCAGTTGGGAATATAGTGATGTGATCCTCCTAGAGAAATAACAAAAGGCATTTGGATGGCGGTTAAAAAATCAGTTTACTATATGGCATTTGTCTTCAATAAATATCCTATTGTAGTGATTTAGCTAGTAAGAAGCACAAGTGAATAACGAAAATAGTTAATAATCGTGGAGAACTGCTATGAAAATATAACCAGACTATCACAATTCATCAGTTTAAGTCACATCTATGAGTACAATAAGACATATGTTTAATTTCTTTAACCAGTATTATTTTCCTATTGTTTATGGTGAAATTTTTAATTATTTGTGTCGTACCATTTTAGATTCCCATCTAATTACTAGTTTTACAGTGTTTAATCTTAATTGGTGATCAAATTTTATAGACTAATCTATTATTAATTATTTCAGCTTTAAAATAGATCAATCGACTTAAAGATAATGTCTACGGTTGTTATTCTAGTTGGTACATGTTCAATTAGCCAAAATATCATTACTTTTCAAGATTGTAGAAACACTTTATAATGAGCAGCAACAATGAATTCTCTAATATGACCTATAATCAGCTAAAAATGTTTATAACAGTCAACAATTTGTTTCCTTTCGTTACCTCGATTAGTACTTGAAATATTTCCACTCTAATTGAAAGGGGATTGGATTATTATGCAACAGAAACACATCTATTAGTATAGTATCATAGGCAACCAAGAATGATAGGTCAGTTGCCTCTGATTGATCCGTCAACAGAATAAATTATCTTGTCGAATTATTTAGCATATGCCAAATTGGAAGTAGAGGAAAATATTATTAAAATTACTTTATGATTTTGAAGTTACTTTCAAATAACCACCAGATAGTCGGTAAAAATCAAAAGTAATTCACAATGGAAGTAGTAAAACTTATTAAATATTAGTTGTCTTAAGAATGATTGTGGTTTGTTTCAAGGTTTGTAATTGGTTTTCTGATTTTAGTATTGTAAAAGTATGGCATTATAACTTTATTAATCTTACTCTGTATTAATTGATTTCACAGGTTTCTTTCTGAATCTTAGTCGAAACCATAAATAGTTTTATCAAATATTCATCATCATCTACAAAATCTCTATTAATAAATTTGCTGAGTTATGAAGAAAAGATGATCAAAAAATCATCGTTGTCACCACAACGACATGAAAAACATTATGTTTAAATAAAGTAATTTATTCTAGAATTTCTACTTCATTAGGTCACTTGTTATACAATGGACTACGAGTATTATTCACTTTTGAACATCACACGAAATGCTTGAAAGTAGTCTTCTCTATTCTGATTGGCTGTCTCTTATACTGTAATTTTACTGAAGATCCTACTATATCGTCTAATAACATAAAATATTGATACTTAATTAAACTAGTTCTTATCAGTTAATTGTTTTTATCAGAAGGAGTTTTCTGGATATTATAGTAATTTCAATAGTTGAGATCATGAGTTAGTAAACTTTGATGTGTAAGAGTTAATAATAATAATCACTTAACCAAATGTCTTATCCATAATGTGATTTTTCGATATGCTAACACATTTGATCTCCTTAAATATTTGTGTCAAACGTAGATATTAAATCAATTCATGAGTTTTCCTTATTTTTTTCAGTTAGATAACTAGAAGATGACTAAATATTTATGATAATCTAGGTCACAGTAATCATTCAACACACACCAAAATTTGAATAATTATATTATTGTTTCACCGGTTTATCGAAGGGGACTAACACACCTAACTACTAATTAGTCCTAATTTAATTATCTAATGTCGCTGTGGTATTTGTACCGAGTGATGATTCCTTTGTACTTCATTGCACTCTGATTACGAATTTCAAATCTAATACATTCACTTGTGCTCATCTAGTTCTACATATCTTAAATTCTTAGTTAGCACATTAATCCGACTACCTCGAATTATCATAGTTAAGATTATATACTAATATAAATGAATATATGATCTTAATTTATTGACATTATTATGCAAACTTACAGAAAGAGGTAAGTACTGAACCAAGTAAGGAAATAATAGTAATGGATGCCTCAATAACTTGCTTTCTAATTCATCTAGCTTTGTAGGTAGATTTTTATTGTGATTATTGTGCTGTTTGATATATTGGTTCCGGGAACACTTGAGATTTTTTTCTTTGTTGATTATGATTGGTCCTACTGACTGAATAGACTTTTAAGGGAAATATAAACATGATTAACGTGGGACGTTATGGTTATTTAAATCAACAACATTCTATTCAGTAATTAACCAAAGGAAAACTTTTAGAATTTCTTATTGTTTTCATATATGGCGTTTAGGAGTAAGTGTAGTGGCTTGGCTTCGAGATAAAACCTTATGTTTTGTTTATCAATCACCTTGATAACCGCTATCGTGTAAAGTCCAGCGGTTGAAGAGTTCATATTGCAACAAGATGCGGCGACTACAGTTCATCATTGAACAGCACAGATAATGAAGTTATAGGCACATTGAGCAAATTAGAGCAAAGAGGCGAATATGTTTGAGTGAGCGAATACAGAGGCAGATTTATCGTCAAATCGGATCACGGCGCGGCGAGGTAAGGTGAAGCGAAAGCAATTAATAAAATTCAAGCGTATATATATAGGGAGGTGAATGATTCATCAATAGATATTTGAGCGATTAACATTTGAGGTAGAATGAGGAATATGTGCATAGGCTGTTGCATATGATCAAACATACACATTTATACAGACATGATAGTGATCATAATAACACAAAGAATTGGAGGAATAGTTACTGTTCGAATAACATTGTATATTAAGTAAGTTAATGAAATGGATCGACAAAATTAATTGTAAGAGGGTTACTATATAAGTATAAGCTTGTGTCATATTTCTAAAACTGATATCAACTGCTTATTTGAAAGAAATTTTGTCTGTTGAAGAGAACTCAGACGATCATGAAGTCCTATGAATAAAAGAAAATCATTATATAGTACAACTATTTTAGTTGATAGAATCCAGCTCATTGGTTCATAATTGGATAAGGTGATTGTCTTTCTAGTTTGAAGACTATTATTTTGATTTAGTAGGAAGAGGTCTTCGCACATGTACTTATCAGATGTTCTACAACGTACAAGTTAACTTTCATCCTATTGTTAAGTAATTTTCTTCAGTTTTTATCATTTAAACTATGAAAGATGATTATTTTTAGAGAACCAGGGATTATATTTTTTTCTATATCTATTGAGTTACTCATTTCCCTATCAATAACGTTATATGAATAAGTTATACAACTATGATCAAATATAATGATGAATATGGGGTAGATAATGAACTGGAATTGTATTTGAAGTTTAGAACTTTTGAGTGAAAATATTTCGGTGTCAGACAACAAGTTATCACCGGGATAGCTTTCTGTTTACATAAAACAGGGTTAGTATTGAGGGTGAGTTGTTTAATTGTCTAAAAGCTTTTACTTGCAAATTGGAAGTCTTATGTTTATAAATGGAACTTTTTCTTGTCAATACACACTTTTAGAACGCGTTGTACGTGAATATCTCATGGTGATTCGGTTAACTTAAGTTTTGACTAATATAAATAGAATCACTCGGCAAATTGTAATATATATATTATGTGAGCAGAGAAACAAAAAAGCTATGACTAACAACGGAAGTTGTTTTTTGGGACGTTATTTTACTTAATTCAAAGCTTGTAAATCACTGACATTTATTTTTGTCCCTAGTTTGTTCTACAAACCATCAGCTTTGATTTGATATGTGATTCACTGCCATACCCCTATTCGTTCCAAAGTTATTGTTATTAAAATGTAAGCTTTGGCACTCTACCCTAATGCCTAGTTTTGGACGTGATTGTATTTTCTAATTGTTGTGCATTAAGGTCATGTTAGTCATCTATTTATTCATTTATTCTTTTGCACTAATCTGAATCGGGATTGGGAATAAATCGAGTAGCTTTCCAGTTGACTCTCTTCTTTCTCTCACGCGCTTGTCAACCAATCAGGTGATAGAATAGTTTTTGTCTCTGTACCCCAAGCAGTTAGTCTCACTTCGAACTCATGCGACTCTAGCCTCAAAGTTAACTCTGTCAGCTTATCGTGTCAAGGTCTTATCCTAGATTGCGACAAGTTATCTTCTGTATATTAGTGGGTAGACAGATCAAAGATATAACAATGTATCACGATAATTTCTTGTACATTATTGACCAACAAATTCAACTTGCGAAATACAACACCTTCAACTGAGCTCAGTGCTTTTTCTGTGAGGTGTGTGTAAATCCCATCTTGACTACTAGAGTACGGACTGGACAGTCCTAGGAATCACTAATAAGTATACCAAATTCTGCTACTTCAAATCATCACGCTAATATTAATCACTAACGTTTTGTTTTGTTCTTAATTGTAACTGAAATTTGTTGTTCCAGTTACGGTGATAATATTAATTTTAATAATAGTGATAATAATCATAGATTCATTATTTGTGGTATACAGTTACATATGCTAATAACTACATATTTCAGTGATGTTTAGGTGATCTCAAATTTCTTATATTAACCTATCAAAAACTGTAAAAATAATCAGTAGAAAGCATATGGAATTTAATTAGTATTATGGGTGATTAATGATGTGAACATGTATGCAACTGAGCTGTACTGTTCTAAGTAAAAAAAACACTTGATGAGAATCATTGTATTAAGTAAACTAAGATTGGTGAGTACTAGAAAGGTGTACACAAAGCCTAGATTATTATTATTATTTTCAGAATCCAGTTAATTGTGTGTTCTTATTGGTTCAAGAGGATAGTAACGGCTTAACTTGAGTTTCATGTTGAAATATAAATAGACAGAAAATCTGAACGACAGTTCTGATTATGCATAATACTCGGATCTGACTGCAATGTTTGTTACTAAGACATTTCGAATTAATGGATCCGTCTAGTGAACATAACATCCATAAAGTTATTTCGTGCTTCAACCCAAATGTTATTATAGGAATCGGAGTTTGAGTGTGTGACTATTGTGTGTGATTCAAGTGCTAACTCACCTTCTCGTATAACCGAATTCTATTTCATCAGATAAGTAACAGATTATCGTTTATCCGGTCTCATATACATCATGGGTCATTCCTTTATAGTAAAGAAAATTCTGTCTTATGAGATATGCTTTGTGGACAACACCAGTATCGTTTGATTATTGTTGATTTTGAAACTGCCTTAAAGAACGTTAGAATTAATGTGAACTAGTTAAAATACAATAAAACCTTTTTTGCGATGTTTTTATTGAAATCCGGTCTTAATATAAAACAACACGATAGCTTGTTCCTTACTACTTGTATGTGTGTAAACTGGAACTTCATATTGATTATTCCTGATTTTTCCGTATGTCTGCGAATTTAATATGTTCTGCAGCTTCTGTTTCGTGACCCAGCACAGAAAGAACATCATCCTGCTTGTGTACAGTATATTACTGATACACCGAACTATGTTGTTTTTATCTGTTCGTATCAAAATTCTGTTGACTGGTAATCATATATGGTTCGCGAGGGAATTCTCGGAGTTCTAGTGAGAAGCCGTGACTAGTGGAGCTAATCCGTGTCGGGTAGAGACAGGTATCTACCTCAGTACAATGGAAGTTGGTCGCGCAATTTCGTGGATTGGTTGATGTTAGACACTAACACGATTGGATGCCGGCTCAGTGGTCCAGTTGGTTAAGCGCCTGGAGCGAGACCGATAGGTCCTGGGTTTGAATCTCGCGGGGAGCGGGATCGTGGATGCGCGCTGCTGAGGAGTCCCATACTAGGACGAAACGGCCGTCCAGTGCTTCCAGGTTTCCAACGGTGGTCTAACATCAATTGATTCATGATCTCCATCACAAACTTAACAATCTCCACAACCCCTATACTGATAGTTCGTGTTTGTGTCAGAAGGCGGTAGAATGCATATCAACAAGATGATATGGACTATGCGGAGAATGATGTAAAGTCGCCTCAATGGGCTTCAATGAAGACAGTATTCTGGGAACAGTTCCTACCCTCTTACGAAACCTAGCTTTTTGTTATTACAGTTCTGCAACCAGGCCCGTTTAAATTCCAGCTTGTGAGTTGTCCGTCGTGACTGACTTCGCATTATTTTTAGAAGTGTCACATGTTATTATTGAATTTTTAGTCAAAATTTCTTATTGCCTTTATTACTTTTACTTCCGCACTTACCCAATACGGACGTGACTTGGAACTAAAATACACACAATCTCCCTCATACGTTAATTAAGGTGTTTAGATAAATAAGTAAGAGTTAAAAAGAGCACTGAGGGAAGTTTGTATACGGCTAGTTTCAAGGTCAGATCAGTCGAAACATAACGACGCAAAAGAAATATGGGACAACTCATTTTAACTAGACTAATTACATCTTACGAAAAGCTGTAGATAGAGTGTACCAGTGTCATCAGCATTTGTGGATATAAGCCATTGATTATACTCACCAAATGGAAATGAAAGGTAAGATGGACAGCGTATATTATGCTTGGGTGTTTACCTTGGCTTCGGATACATATAATTTTCAACATTTTCATTTGTTGCAACTTATAGTACGGGAACATAGTGTTTCTTTACTCACTCCAAAAGGATGAGGACACTCTGGAGCGTATTCAACGGCAAGCCACGAAATCAGTACGTAGACTCAAATTCAAGCCTAATGAAGGGCGCGTACAATCACTTAACCTTTACTCATTAGAGTACAGGCGTCTTAGAGGTAACCTTCTAATAGCTTACAGCATCTTTAACACTTCTGGACATCCACTTAAACACCTACTTCATTTTAGCTGCAACACAAACCTAAGGAGTATTACCCAGAAACTGGAGACAACAAAGCAGAACGGATTTTAGATACAAATTCTGCTTCCTAAGAGTAGCCGAATGCTGGAATTCGCTGCCGGCTGAGCCAGTGCAGGTGACACCCCAGTAGTACTTCGAGGGGGAATTTGACCTATTCTTAAGGACTAAGGATGGTATCTTACTATGATTTTTCTATTTTATCGGTAATATACCTAGGTTCATGCCTGGAGGCATTGCTGATCCAATGCCCGTTGAGAGAAAGTTCCCTCTTTTCCGTCCACAACCATTTGAACCATTCGATATATGTATTTCTAAACCTCTGTATTCTGTTTCACCCGTAATTTCCAATAACTTATTTGAAAGCGGTTTTTTCTTTCAGCTCTGATAATTGTTGATTTTATTTTCGTCTTTTAGGTTCTGTTGCATTCAGTTTGTTGTTTTGATTTATTTTCTCATACTCTATCAGTGGACATGAACACCTTCAAACTTCGTTGTGTTCACTAATTTTTCTGTAACTTAATTGGAAATTTTTGACCCTACTTGATTTGTCTCTGCTGCTTTGTATGACCGTTTATCTGTCTTCGTTGTAAACCTTAAATTGCGAAGACTGTTACTCCATTACTCTAATAGGACTTGTATACATATTACTTCATTTGTGGAACTTGGAATGCATTTCGTGACTTCTGAGTAGTTCATGTTTAAATTTGCATCAGGGGAATTTCGTTATGTAACATCTTAAATACCAGAATCATTAAAAGTAGTCTGTATGCTGTTGAGCGATTTCACGAGACGATTCGGAGACGGATGATTGTGAGTGAATAAGTTATTTAGATAATAAAAGGGTGTTATTGCGTAGAACGTACACTGTTCTAATAAAAACCTAGTAATATTGGACGAACTCAAGAATACTGTGGCGGTAAATAAATCTTCATAATCAATAGCTCTGTAAGTCTACGACATTTGATGCTAACCGCATTCGTTTTGGTGGACTCAGCTAGATGAAAGCGCCCGGTCACGCAACCACACCATATCACAAGTCGGTTCGCGTGCTTAACATCACTTTTCGAATACTAGCCAGTTTCGATCAAACATTCCTTCGACTTACTGATAGCCTTCCAAGTATATCTTAAAACTTCTTGATTCCTGACTTTTGATTTGAGTGAGTTGGGATACTTCTATTATAAAGGTGTTACTGGTTAAAGCATGGTCAAAATCCGAATACTTGTGACATTTTTAATACCTATTCGTACTTCTTTAGAATGCTCTTCTCATGATGACGAAGTCATCCCACCTACGCTAGTGGTGTTGAAGTATGTGAATATATGAATAATGCTAAAATTTAAGTGGTGTTATAAACGAACGTGGATGTCTCTATTGAAGAAGTGAAAAGACGGCCATCTGAAATGAGTACTAAAGAATCTAGAGCAGTGTAAGTTAGTTATCATAGTGTCTACCTGACTCACTGAATGATAAATGGAACAATGCCACCAAAATTCATCATTGATGATGGACCAAAAGTCTCGGCTGATTGCAAATCAAAAATTCTACAAAATTGTTTAAGCTCTCATGGTCCCTTTAAGAAATCCTCAGAAGCACAGTTTGATTTTTTTTAGATGAAATCCAGATCATGCGAGCAATGCGAGATTTGAGTGTTCAGTCCGTGAACGAATATATGTATACAGCCGAAAGCGGTCAATTGAGCTCCTTCACTGGTAAATAACTTCCAGGATTGGTAGCTGTAAAAGCATGACATCAATATTAACGTCGGTGATTTTAATGCCCTCTGCAATATGGAGGCGTTTGGTCATTCTTCATGACCATGTCTTAGCATAGCCGGTGTTATACTCTTCCCAATATATTTATAGTCAGCTTGAAATACTCAAGTTCATCTGTATCACCCAACGTTCAATTATACTTTGTCTTTCAACGAATAGTATCTTCGGAGTATCAGTGTCGAGGTATCTGCTATTCATGTTCTTCGACACCGTCGTAAAAAGAGTGCATACACTCCTCATTACCCATCTTAACGTTTGTAGATGACTCTATGAAAGCACCCGGCACGATGAAAGGTAAAAGTGATTATAAACACGACTAGATGTCAAGTATTCGGATGATTTTGCGATTTGTATGTTATAATCAAGAGACACCCATTCACCTAGAAGCCAACGAAAAAGATCACAGTTATCAGATATAATGCCATAGTAGCTCATAGACATAGGTAGATAAGTTTGAAAGTCTTGGAGTGGTTTCTAGAGGGTTGTAGACAACGAAATATTTGAAAGGTGCGGATGAATTATTGGGATAACTGACATTGCCTGCAGCTATTAAAGTGCATTAAAATAAAAAATCCAATAACGAACATTCACTAAGCTTGATACTACCATGTTCACCACATTATACACATCCTTGGTGAGAACTAAGTTAGAGAACCGTGTTCAGGCTGCAAGCCCCTGTTTAAAAGGTGACTCAGACATACTGGAAAAGGTGCAGAGGGCAGCTACGCGTGCGATTCCGGAACTCCGGGGTTTATCATATAAAGAGCGGCTTGAAAAACTGAACCTGTTTACTCTGTCCTATCGCAGACTAAGGGGAGATCTGATATTGATGTACAGAATACTGAGAAATGATTTCGGACCTAACTTATTCTCTCTCTTTCTTCCCACTAGATCGGGACACCTCAGAGGGCATAGCAGGCGAGTAGAAAAGCCAAGAACGAACAAAATACCCGTGGCATACAGGTTTTCACACCGAGTCATCAATACTTGGAACCTGCTGCCTGAAGCAGTGGTGTCCGCACCTTCAATTGACTCTTTCAAGAGGAGACTGGACACTCACAGAAGCATACTAGAAAAGGAATAACATAGGCCGTAGGCCTTCTGTCCTTACTACACAAATCTGAATCTTGTCAATAATCATTGCGATTGAGTGTCTTTCGAATTGCGTCCAAATGCGTTTCTTACGTCTTTTAATCAAAAAATTCAAGAAAACATTCGGTGAGACTATAATTTATAGAGGATCTTTGGGCGACACATAAGTGACCTTGAGAGTAATCACCTGCTATTTAAGACATAATGAAGGTTCTAAACCAGTGTAATTTACAGTTGATGGTTAGAGTTGGGAACTAGATTGACAGTTCCCATCATTAACTGACATCAGATAAAATGCCAAAAGGCTATCTAGCCAGATGCGCGAGTGAATGCCGTGCTAAAATACAAAACCTGTTGTATCTGATTGGTTAATCTATAAATTATGTTCTCGCCACCGTAATATACACACAGACATTTTAATCTAGTATTTAGCTGTAAAAACGTACCGAATCTATGCATTTTGATCCTTGAGGATAAACTGATAAGAATCTCCATTTTAAAGCATTGCTTTTGATTCTTTTTGTATTTCCCATAACTCGTGGACGGCCTTCAGTGTTGTCATGGCACTTTGAAAGTCTTATAGAAATTCTTTTATGAACACTTGTCATTGTGATAGTTAGTAAGTAAATAGTGTTTAAATAAGTAATCAAGAGCTTAACGTTTCGCATATTAGTAACGAATGTTTGGAACCATGTGGCTGTACATCAAGTCTTGAGCTACCGCGGGATGGTTGATCGTAAGTTTTGCTGTATTCGTTGAGTCTCTTCAGTCAGATGTCCTGACTACATGAATTACTTATGTCGAGTACATAGTCTCCAGGGAGAAACTAATAACCATAAAAAAGAGGTACGTGCGAAATTGCTTTGATTCTTTATTCTCACTAAGCCCTTTACCGACTTCTGGGAAAATTTTACTTGTTTTGGGGATGTTGCTATAAATAAGTTTGAGGAAATGGTAGTAAAACCTCCAAAACGTCTTCAAAATAAGGAGATTGGACATTTAAGTCATGAATTCCTGTGAACTCAACATTTGTTGAAATCTTGGGGTTTCCCCAAAATTACATTAGTCTTCCCCATAGTTTTAGGGAATTTCCCCAGATCTGGTGAAAATTTGGGGTTCTTCTTCCTTTTTCTTAAAGTTTTCTGTAGCGGTTTCCCTAAAACGTATAAAAGTTTTTCCGAAATAAGGAGAATGGGTGCCTAAACTTTCCTTCATAGACTTGGATTTCGTGCTTATGTTTTCCTGTAGTTACAATCCAAGTATATAAAGTTTTGCAAAAGTCTTCATATCTCAGTGTATGGAGTCTTTTGTTAAATTCAACATGTGAAACCATATTTTCATGGTAAATATACTCATTGAACGTAAGTCCTTTAAATGATGCTTACGGATTATCTGCATGTTAATCGTACCTATTCAAGATTTCACCTGGTGTTACCGTTTTTAAGGCTGCAGCGTCTCAAAAAATTGAAATATTGCCGAAATAGCTCCAAAATGGAGCGCTCTCGGCATGAGCTGTTTGTATCAATTCACGTTCTGCTCCCACTTACATTGCAGTTGTGATGTTGGTTCGTTTATATTTAGTCGTCAGTTAGTAACAATATCTTACACGTCGGGTTCGGCAAAATGTCCTGAAGTGTGGACCACATTCGCAACCTACTTGTAGGGTGTGGCCCCTAAGTAAACCACCTCCGGCTTGGGCGCTCGGGTAGTATCCCAGCCCTCACACAAACCGGATGTTTTGTGTGGTGCGTGTATGTTTGATGTCTCCTTGTACCAATAGTTATGCAATATTTATGCATTTAAACAAATAGGACAAAAAGATTACGTAACAGTTAACGTTTTTATGGCATTTGTGTTTTGTAGGACTTATTAATACGTTTTCTTTTCGTTAAATGCAGAAAATAGATCCTAACTCAATCTCAGGTGAAATGGCGGAATTGTCTGATTACACTATAGAGGCACTTGAGTCGTTTAAACGGAAATTAACTACATACATAGAAGCTGTGGATAAAAGCTGTAAGTTGAGATGTAGCATACTAAATGCCTTTACAGTGGCCAGTGCAGCTGAAGAATCTCTAAATTTTGACTTCCACGAGAAGTTACCGTCGGGCACTTACTGAAAGTTATTGTAGACAAGACATCTATATGTCTATGTATTAGCCTTATTCTCTGTGGGTTGTATTTCACAAGACAGTATTGTACATTGTTTGTATTACTAAAGACGTAGATTAAATTTTAAATTAAAAATAAAAGTTTTCCAGTTTAAACGTCTTTTCAGTAACATTATAGCCTGTGTTTTTCTTAATCCTGTATTAAGTAAAAATCTAATATTTCACAATCTTGGTATGCTTATTTGTATTTTGCGAAATTGTGGTTTTCTGAACACGAGAGTCGTCTTGATATGTTGGGTGTGCTTGCTTTTCGTAATAATCCAACTGAGCCACACCGTATCTCGAGGTCTTGTGATGTTAAATGAGTCAGCTTGGGTCATCCAGTCAGTCATAATGAAAATAAAGCCTAGTCCAAATATATGTCGGTCCAAGTTTCTATGCATTGTCACCACAGCGAGATGAAGTCAGTGAAATGACTAGTGGGATGGCAAGATTAAAGACAGTTTCTGTGGTCTTATCAGTAGTTGGACTGTGATGAAAGTAAGTAACATTCTTGTGAGGAGCATTTATAGGAAACTGATTGGCCTTATTTTAGATATTTAGAGCATTGATCGAATGATGACTAAACTGCTGTCAAATGTATGCTTTGTTTTCAGTAGTTCACCGAGGCGAAAGCTTGGAATGAACTTTTTGCTGTTGCTTACGCATCGCTTTTTGTAAAACAAGAGTAATCATCCAGTTGAATCTACAACTTTTTATTAGTATCCCTAGGCAGGGTGACCAGATAATAGAATTAAATCATTTGATTCTATTACTGGCGGCCAATTTTTTTGCTACTCAACTTTTTAGTAATTTATCATGAGACTTATCTTAGATGATTTGTGTCATATGTCAAGATTTAATCTTACACTTTTGAATCTGACTTATTTTAAATTAGTAATTCATTTCCCACTTTACTGTTCCTGGATCTAGTTATGAACAAATGTGTATTGTTCAACGCCTACAACACATTCCAACAGAGCTATATCTTGGTACCCTTACTGATGTTCACTTATGGATCAGATTTTTATGTATGTAATTATAGTTATAATCCTAATATCTGATTCATATAGATGCATCATAATTGGGATGCAGAAAGTCTAGTGCAGTCCATTAATGGGGTTATAAAAGTTTTGGTATCTTTAATGGTAAAAATATCCAAAGAGAGTTCAGATTTGATGGTTTTAAAAAACTTGGGCATTGGGTAAATGGTATTCACCATTACTAGAAATTTGTATTTCCCACTAAGCAAAAAAATAAATTTCGTTTTTTAATCCTTTAGAAATAAAATTCTTTAGTAATAATGAGTACACAAAATCCTCTCTACCTCTTACACGTGCTTGTTTGACTACCAATAGAGTCCCAATCATAATTGCTTGGACATGTCTCGTATATAATAGCTTCCTTATAAATTATAATCTCAACAAAAAGGCTAGGATGTTGTGCCCCTCAATTCCTGCCTGTTCTAATATGAACACTTCTGCACTATCGCAACATTTATGACGATTTATGTCTTCTGATCACGGAACTATTCAAGTATAATATTTTTCCTCTTTAAAATGGACTTCAAAAGAGGTTAACAAAAATGTTTTTATTTATTTATTTGTTAAGGTGCCAAAACTTGTCATTATACGCATTTTCGAGGTTTACCTTCAGGGAACACAAATACCAGCAGAGGTTAATCATAATTTACCCCTGAATATCAATAATGAGGAAAAGTAGACTATTATAGATGATATAATATCATCTCGTTGCGCAAATGTGGTATGGAAACTTGGGCTAACACATATCTGTACCGGGCTGTATGTTCATGATGACTGACGAATGATGCACATCATACCTGTTGAACAAGTTAGTACCTATCTGGTCTCAATGTAATGTTTTAGTATTTGAGGCCATAGGTGCTGGTTCAGTTTCAGTATGAACATTTATACTAGGATGCAAGTACATAAACTTGACAAGTCCTAGATAAAGCGAAACGCGCATTGCGAATCTCAATGCTAGTCATAATCCAAAAAGACATTTCTATTGAGATGTCGGAGAACAGATATAGGTGAATTAGGGGGTTGATCACAGTGAATAATTGACATTTATGTTCACAAAACTGAAAACTATGTGGAAACGAATTAATCGGCTGTTGGTGTGGATGTTTATTTCCAGTTAAATCAAAAATAGTTATAGCGTTTCTGCTACTGATAGAATATTTAGGTGTTTTGCAATTAGTTTGCAGGTATGAACTTTGAACTGTAGGCTTGAAGATGATAAATGTTTAGAGTTCGCGAAGTAGCTATTAAGTAAGGCGAAGCTGTTCCATGTCTCATGGTAGATATAGAAGTGTCTTTGAGATAATTAGCTACAAGCGTAAAATAGACTCAAGAGTTTGATAATATTGTTGGATTCGTATGAAAGCAAATACTTAGGCCAGATACGTTATGGTAACATATGTTCTATAGTATTATTTACTAATATGTATTTCTAGTTGTATTTATCATGGAAAATCAGGTGTTTTAGTCATTAAGTCAATATTATCTCTACAGTTGGATGCTGTTTTTGTTTCGTCATTTTCAAGGAAAATTAACATTTTATCTACTGACCGCGGTAATATTCCGTAGTACTAACATAATCAGATCTGTATCATCTAAGCCTGGGTAAGATTTTGTTAATTATTTCAGATAATGAGGAAAATAGACAGTACTTAATATCAGGTGCCCGAAGTTGCATAGGGTTCATCCCTGTTATTGCTCTAGAATAGAGCATTTGTATATCTTAACATTTAAATCCTTATCAATCAGCCATAAACTCAGTTTTGAAGTTTGCTTCATAGTTGTTAGTACTCAACTAAAAATAACAATGATCATTGTGTACCATACTGGCCTACTACGGTCTGTAATTTTTTCCCAACATTACTGATTGGGTTTTTCGATCGCTTCAAAATATCAAGGACAGTGTTGGTTATGAAAATTAGCTTTTGGTTGGGATTGTTGAGAATATTACCACTGTAATTTGAAATGGTAAAACCAAATTTTAGAATCAGTGTTTGTATCTAGCAACTAGATATGATCGACAAGACTCCGTTTTACTCAACTGATGCTTTTTCATAACTTACAACTTACTAGGGATGAGCGCATAAGTTTAATCTCTAACCAGCCTATTGATATTTATCGTATCACTTCCAACTCTTAAAGGGTCTCAACAAATGCTTCTCACATATTTCATTTTATACGTTTTCTCGTAGTTGGTTGAGATTTATGATTTTTCTTTTTAGATTTCTGCATTTGTACCAGTAATAAATATTATAGTCACAGATGAAAGCAGAAGATGGTGAGTCGCTTTTTTAAGTATCACTAAAATCTTGGTATTGATTGTCTTCCCTACCTTTTATAGTTCCTTTT